GGGAATTGACCATATTTTTTTTTATCACGATTACGCTAAACCTCACACATCTTTAGCCACTCAGCAAAAATTAAGAGAGTTTGACTGGAAGGTGTTATTGCATCCGCCGTATAGTCCTGACTGTAGAGTTATCAAACGGAACGTGTCTGAATATGACAGCTGTCATATAATTAGTTTTTAGCGCTCTTTTTACTTGTCATCCAGGAGTGAATAATAAAGCAAGTGTTTCATTAAATTCGTGTTTAATTTAATATGATACAACCGTGATGTAACGAAGTAGACACTGACCTTGCACCTTCAGATTTCCACCTGTTTCGATCTCTTCAGATTTTTTTAGGCAGTGTTAGATTAACATCACGAGAGGACTGCGAAAACCACAGGTCGCGATTTTTTGATCAGTAGCCCCAAAATTTATATAGTAATAGGATCATGTTTTTACCCACAAGATGGCAAAAAATTGTCGAACATAATGGCACCTACATACTTTAGTTAAATGTAAAAGATCTTTATTAAAAAAAAACTTTTGAATTTTCATATAAAATGCGAAGAAATTTTTCCCCCAACCTAATATAATTTTCTCTTTTGTATACATGTCATGTCATTGCACCATATTTTTGCAATAAAGAAATCTAATCTAATCTTATAGTTAACTACTTGCTTGCCAAACGTAAAAGCATTGTCAACGCAGTGTTTTCATTCGAGTGTTGTAGTTTTGATTAATTCGGACATGTTTACAATAAACGTAGCATTTAGCACTTGGCTAGTTACCACGGAGATCCACAGATAGTAAAAGTAAGCGGAACTATGTCAAACAGCCATCGTCCCGCGCCTCCAAACGCATACAAACAAATGCGAACAATTAAAAAAAAATCGCACGGCGCCATCGATTCTATATTCAAAGTCCACCGTGACATACTCGCGACGAAAAATAACAAACAAATTTAACTTACTACACCCCACGTTTAAAGCTCAATTTTCGCTAACCGAATACTGAAGAAGCCTTTTTTAAATTCGTCCGAATTCAAAACTCACGCATCGAGCGAGACGCCCGCATACCGTTTTGAATTCATTGAAGAAGAAGACCAATCGTTATTCGATAAGCTACCTTAAAGCTAACGGAACAAAGCTTGCTTTTAAAATTTTGATGGTTTTTAAGAAATAGTAAGCTCTGTTGCTAGTTGGTAAGGTCGATTTTGAGTCAAACTTTTAGTTCCATAATAAGTAGAGCATAATCCGGTTGATTTGGGAATGTATGTCGCGGAAGTAGGTCTCAAGAGGATGAAAGGGGGGGAGGTGCGGTTAAGATTATGCCAATCTCTGTAATGTACCTATCATAATAAGATATTAAATAGCCACTTTCATGGTATGCCGATTTAGTGAAAAATTGAACCTAAATTTTTAAATTACGGTAGATACAGTTTTGACTTGCCAATTTAATTTGCGTGTGTTCGTTCGGTACACAGTAGGCATACTTAAGTTTTATAGTTTGATGCTAAAGTTAAAATATTCGTAATTGTGTTGTTTGGATTAACTTAAAATAAACATAAAATTGCCTTATATTTAATTTTTTTTTTAGCCGTTAACTGCTAGATGTTTAAATCTAAGGAAAAATTTACTAGAAAAAAAAATCTTTGTAAAACTGCTTTCCTGAATGAGTGAAAAAGAAAATTATTGATGTTCCGTTATAATTTATAGTATTGTACTATATTTCGGGTCTGCGTACTATATAATATACTGTTGAAGAAACACATAGTTAGTATGCAAAAATACTATATTTTCAACACCGAAATCTAACAAACATTTTTTTCATCTTTTGACTGATGCAATTCCGAACTTGTTAAAGTCAAACTGAGGGAGTCAAAACTGGATTGCGTTCAGAACCTACGCAGCAAATGTCAAAATTGCCATAACTTTCATGTCAAAATTGAAACGTCAGAGCAAAAAGTTTTTTTTTTTTGGTTTCTGTGGCTTTCTCCGTTTTAAAGCAAAAACTTGCACTCAGGTTCTCTTGCGCAGGTTCAGAACGCAACCTTGTCAAACGCATGTTTTGTCATTGGTCGGCGTTGTTTTGGTTTTGGGATTTTGTTAATACACCATTTAGCAAAAAGGAGAAGCATACAATTATTTTCAATTAGATACTTATTATTATTTATTTTGAGAAGTCTGAATAAACTAGTTATGGAAAGTGGTGATTTTTATAAAAATAAATAAGTAACAGATTATTTTTGTCTTCTTTTTAAGTTTTCCGTAAAACACTATTTTTTATGTGTACTTTATTTTTTTATAGCATCGCTTGAAAAATACTTTATTTCGCTGAAAAAATGTGGCAATCCTTGTACCAACAAAATTTAACTTTATCAATACTTTGGTATGTGTGGTTTGAGCATTTAACTGTTGACTTCCTTTATTGGATATATAAACGATAACTATTTAAGAGCAATCATCATCAGCCTATGAATGTCCCCACTGCTGGGGCACAGGCCTTCCCTATGGATGGAATAGGGAGATTGGGCCATGACCCACCACGCGGGCCCAGTGCGGATTGGCGGGTGCTAACGACTGCAGATGCAGCCAGGACCAACGGCTTAACGTGCCTTAAGATTTTTGGTCACCCATCCAATGACCGACCACTGCGAAAGTTGCTTAACGATCGCAGCCTAACGCACTCACCACCCGTGCCATCGAGCTCCTTATCGGATCGATTTAGAGCAATATATCCATTCTATTAAGAATTGTGATTTATACAAGGCGCAGCAAATTACCTTACCATACCTAATGTTAAGTGTGAGTAGAGTCTAGTCGTGAATACCGCTGCGGTGAAAAAAATGCGTGATTTTCGTGGAACACCCGATTGGAAAGTAGTTAAAAAAAATACCACCCACCAATCCGCACTGGGGCCGCGTGGTGGTCGAGCAATCCGCAATGGGCCCGCGTGGTTAGTCATGGCCCAATGTCCCTATTCCATCCAAAACCTACCCGTTAATCATGTACGGCAAGATGACGAGACCCCGGCCTGGCCAGATTTTTTAAATATAATACGATTAGGATTTTATGCAGAATTTCTGCTATTTATAAAAATATTTTCACAGAAAAATGCTGCACTCAAATATTCAACTAACACAGTGGTCCCGCTATTTTGATATCAAAATGACGGGACCACTACTTAATTAATGAAAAACACAGCGTAATCTTAAACTAAACACACCTAATTTTAATGAGATTAATTACTATACTTAATAAAGTGTTATTTCAATACAAAAAATACGCCTGAAAAAAAAAGTATCATTTTAAGCTTAGTAACTCTTTATTGCTCTTACAATTGATTAAGGCGCTGTCAATAATAATTATTTTTTGCTACCTTCAGTCTACAAGTTGTCATGGCAATGAACAGAACAGCTTAGTATCACATCTTTGTTTACTGAATAAATAATGAATGATAATGAAAAGTGGCCCAATTAAATAGTCAAAATGAAATCTGTAATATTTTTGAAAATATTCATTTAAATTACAGGGCCAAATTGGTCTATATTAAATGCACAATGTATTTAAGGTACTTAATTGGATAAGGACGAATGTTATATTGCTGTAAATCGCTTCGCAAATAATCTATTATTTCTCGTAAAAAGTATACGATTAAAAATGGTTCTTGTGGATTATCCCTAAAAGATAGACATATACCATTGTGCATGTATTATACATATAAAACTTGCTCTTGAATCACTCTATCTATTAAAAAAAACGCATCAAAATCCGTTGTGTACTTTCGAGGTTCTAAGCATACATAGGGACATAGGGACAGCCAGCGGAAAGCGACTTTGCTTTATACTATGTAGTGAAGTAAAACGCAACATTAGATTAATATTTTTATTGAGACCCAAAAGATACCAAAAACCCAAAAAAGTAATACAAACTTTTAATCACCTTTACAATCATACAGACAAACTTGAGATACATGAGGACTTACAAAATATAAATTACTCAATAATAGATAGCACACAAAATATTATTTCTATCTTATAACGATGGCAGACTTTATGTAACACGATATTTATTATTATTGTTATTTAATTAATAATTGTTATTACAAAAAAAATTAGAGAAGAAATTGTCATTTTATTATTATTTCTTCAGAATGACATGCGGATATTAAATAAGGTGTCTAATTGATTGTTTAAAACACTGAAAATTAAAATAAGTTCCATAATTTTTCAAAATTATAAACTCATTTTATTATTATATAAATAGATTCTTAGATAGTGGTGACATCTGTGAAATTTATTTGACGGATAGGTAGTATTTTCTTCAGAAAAAAAAAATACTGACATACACACAGCTTATTGATAATCCATAAAACATTTAATAATTTCAATGAACTCAGCATTGACATTACAAAATGCTTCAATATAAATTAAGTTAAAAAGCTGAATTAAACCTATTTCATTTTATGTAGTAAAAATCCGCTAATGCCATAATAATTATCTAATAAGAAGTAAAACTTTCATAATATTGATTTTATTCAAGTGTTTAGTATAATAGCTACTAAACAATGTACTGATTTGTGGTATAATGCAAAATATTGATAGTCTGCAAATAAATGTCTTATCGTCTTATTTGATTACGATATAATGTATAAGTCTTATTTTAAAAATAATCAACAATAACTTAGCAATTTTGCTCGTATATTAAGTTTCTAATATAAATCGAGCAAAGTACTTGCTAATGTATAATAATATGATATCAAAATAACACGATTCTATAAATTCCAGTCAAAACAATAAATGTGAAGTCGTCAAATTCTTAACAATTACAATTAATATCTACATTGTAAGGAAAATAATAATGCTTAATCATTATTAGCGCCATCTTGTGTAGGTAATCAACACTACAACAATCATTATCTTAAAGTCTGAAGCATAGAGGCCAAGTCCAAGTTGCGCGTAATTTCGCTAGATGGCGTTAATAGAAGACTTAAGAAATATTGAACAAGGCGTTTATCTTTGCTTCTTTTGACATGAATTGTCTTGCTACAGCATGAGTTTTTGCTCAAGCGCTGCCCATTGTGGTTCCAAAGGAGCAGCCACTCCTTCTGTGCCATAGTTGTAGAGGTAGTCTTGCATCGCGGGCGGGGTCTCCCCGAACATGACGTACTCGTGGGGCGAAGCCCTACGCCGTCCCGACGCGAGGCGGACGCTGCGCATCATAGCCGCTGACTTCATACGCTCTAAAAGTTGATAAAGGGAATTAAAATTTATGGGAACTAAAAATAATACAGACAGCTATCTAGTTAACGCCTGTGAGGAAATTACCAGCAATTTCTGTTTCTCGTAAATCACCTTCGTTGGTGGAACGGCGTAGGGGCAATTCCACATTATTGTTGATTGATGGTTTACGGATTACGTACGGCTGACACAAAATGGAGATTTTTCGTTCGATAATTGTCATAGGGTGTTGGTATTAAGTATATCAATTATAGGACAAAGGATGGAATTAGTTTTCTTGGGTTTCATGATATCAAGAATTATGAATATAATAATAAGAATTATGAATTCTTTGAATAAAGAAAACAACAAATGATTAATAAATATTATTACGCACTCGTACTAAGGGTACTGATTTTATTGTTTTCGTTTCAATACAAATAAACAGTTTTTAAATTCTATCATTAAATCATTTGTGTCTTCTTAAATTTTGAGTATATATTTGGTCACTTTTCATCAAAATGGACATTGAAACATAATTTATATGATTGGATGAAACTATGATAGTTTTCGTGAGATCAAACCCGTACTAAGGGTACTGTACCCCTAGCACGAACCAATATCGAATTCGAATAACTTGCGAGTGCGAAATGTCAATGTCAAATTTTGTATGGAAACTTGAACAGCAGCGCCACAAAGTACGTAACGAGAACTAAAAATCAGTACACATTTGACAATGACATTTCGAACTCGCAAACTATTCCAATTCGATAATGGTCCGACCTAAGCAACTAACTTATAAGTGATAGGTAGACTTCTTCCCATGGACTGTCTCGACGACGATTATGCCCGAAGAACAAAGAAAACGGTATCTCTTTCCTTGTCTATAGATCTCTTTCTATGTATTTTGATTAAGAGCGGACGTGAGCTGAGAGACATTTGAGAAATAGGTATTTGAATGAAAAAACAATTATTATTGATGTCGTGCAATAAGGGCTACCGTTTTTTGTCTCACCAGATGGCGCCACTGTTGAATGAGGTCCTGAAGTGTAGCTTTTAAAGTTTGTTAATACGCGCGTGAAATCAAAGTTTACATTTAAATCATGTTTTAATACAAAAGAACCGTATCGTAAACGCAATCGGCTATGCCACAGTGTTGCTTAATTCCGTTTTGTTCGGAAAAAAGGACATAACAATTTCTCTTAGCTCTGCTTTTAAATAACTGGCATTCATTGGCACGTAACTCGTATTTGACATAATTAATCTGAGTAATTACGAAATATTCACAACATTATTTTAATTAGAAATAAACCCGCGTAGTCAACCAACAAGCAATAACATTTAACATTTCGGAGACCTCACGCTACACTAGCGCCTCTAGCGGCGGATTCATACGCGATAGCCCTCATTGGCAAATACATTGCGATAGGGACGAGAGTAGATAACGCTGAAAATTGCGTTTTAAAATTGCAAAACTCGAGGTGTGGCTCACGACGATTTCCTTCTCAAAAATTAGATATTATGTGAAAGAAATTTTAACCATAGAATTATAAGTAAGTAAGTAAGTGCTTATTGAATCTCCACACTACACGTCTTGAGTGGTGATATTTTTTGAAGTGAAATTTCTTTAGCGGCGTTGTACACGTTTTTTGAAATTGAATGACATTCCGCACTCGCAAACTATTCGAATTCGATATTGGTTCGTGCTAGGGGTACTGATACAGATGGATGCGAAATGTTTTAAACTTGACAGTGGGACCAAGGTCTTTGGCACTTTTAAGACACTGACAGGAGGGCGCTGTTGGAGAATAAGTTGCAAAATGAGGATTAGCTATTAATTACGAAAATCTCACAATCACTAAAGAGTACGTTATGATTTGCAAAGAAGATTGCTCAGCTTCCATACATGTTTGGCCTAAAGACCAATAATCATGAAAATTTGTTTCCTAGATTCGAAATTATATATAAAATACTGTAGCAACGAATATTATTGACGGACACCCCCTGAGAACTTCTATAAACCATATATACAGTGAACATATTAAAATAATAAAAAACAAATAAGTTTTATAGTAAACTAGGGAAATCAAGCCAAGTACCGAAATTATGGATTAGATTCAGGTATATAGAGCATGTAGATTAACAGATAGTTGCCTGTTTTTAAAGTTAATGCATAAGAGTAACTTTTAAAATCAGGTGTCATTTTCGGTTATAATATGGTACTCTGTGACAGAAACTGTGTGATGATTGTGAATGAGCCACAGATTAGAGAGAATTTTTAAACTCTCGTTAACCAAAGAAAGCTAAGAGATTTAGGTTATATAGCCATATATTCAGTAGCTTCATTATTTTTGTTATGTTTTAAATATAACCATATTTTTGATTTTTAGTGTATCACACCTTATAATTTTATTTATTTATTAATTTATAGTAAGGCAACGTAGGCCCATAGATACCTTAAAGTCTAACACATATACAGATTATAATGTGTTTATGGAGGTATTTGGCGAATAATGTATGGCAATAGACTTTATGATGTCGCCTAACATCTATAATAATGAGGGCTATCGCGCCTGAAACCGTCGCTAGAGGCGCTTGTGTTGCGTGAGGTCTCCGAAATGTCAAATGTTATAGCTTGCGGGTTGACTACGCGGTTTTTTTCTAATTAAAATAATAGTTGTGAATATTTGGTAATAAATCAGACTTATTATGGCAAATATGAGTTACGTGTCAATGATTGTCAGTTATTTAAAAGCGGAGCTAAGAAAAAATATTGTCCTTCTTTTTACCGAACAAAACGGGACTGCGCAACACTGTGGCATGGGCGATTATGTTTAAGATACAATTCTTTTGTATTAAAATATAAACTTTGACATTGACTTGGACACATACCCTCGCTGGTGGCGAGCGGGCAGTACTTGATGGTGTGGGCGCGGTCCCCGCTGGCGCCGCACCGCCGGCACAGTAGTGTGTGTGTATACGTATAGTGCGGGGGGGGAGGGGGGGGGGACACATACCCTCGCTGGTGGCGAGCGGGCAGTACTTGATGGTGTGGGCGCGGTCCCCGCTGGCGCCGCACCGCCGGCATACGAAGGCTCGCAGCACGGGGCACGACACCCTCCCATCCGCGCCCTTCAGCGAGTGCGACCGGTAGTAAGACTCGCGTTCGCCGTTGTTCTTGCAGAACCGGCACTCCTACGCAACACAGAGCAGAGTTTGTAACCTGAATGTGAGGTACCAATACCCTATTTAACTTCCGAGACAAAAGGTCAACCAATGTTCTAATAGGGATGTCGAAAGTTGAAAAAAATATTTTAAAAAATATCGATATCGGCTTCGATATATCGCGAAAAAAATATCGATATATCGGACCAATTTTCCCAAAAATATATTTAGGTCAGCCTAGCACAGTAATGATAGGTCAATACAAATTATAATTAAAGAAAGAATTACCAAAGTAACAAATTGCCGCTACACTACATGACAGTACAGTATCTCACGAAATATGACACGCGGAATAATAATGGAACGAAAATTATCTTCCTAAAAAATAAACCCTATTTTCGAATGATGAAAATGATTGCAGGGCCTCTCAGGTGCCATCTTTCGTAAACAAGACTAGACAGTCACACAATTCCACAGAATATAATGGAAATCAGCACAACCAATTCACCAGCGAAACAGATTTACAAATAATTAGACAATACTAAATACAGCACAGATCATAGATATGTTGAATATCATTAATCTAAGATCCAGTTACGATTTTTCCAGATACGAATTTAGTTAGATCGTGATATGCCGCTAATAATTAAAAAAATGTCGTTTTTGATACGAATTTCGATATTTGTTATTTTGTATCGATGTTTCGATGTATCGAACAAAAAATATCGATATATCGATACATCGATATATTTTCAACAAGCCTATGTTCTAAAACTTTTATAGCGAGAGCAAAGATGACTGGTGTAACCAAACCGATTCAAAATTTCACATTTCCACGTTAATTATTTGCATTATCACTACTCTTCGAATTAGTAACATTGTCTTTTCAATGTCACTTAAATCGTAACGACGAACATTTTTATGTCATTCCATCTTGCTCATGTTTATCATCACGCAAACTACCACTGTGCATACATCTCCTTCGGCGTTAATTGCATCACGCAATTATATATTATACTCTCCAAACGCAGTCTAGCTTAGTTCAACCGAATGAAAGTTAGATGTTCCGTTTCGATTTAGACGCAAGCGACGAAACGAAATGAAATACGTAAGAGTCGCCGCACACGGGCCACACCACACGCCACAGCCACAAACGCCGCTACGAGAAGTTAGAAGCGGCTACTAAAGTGGCTAAAGCGCGCGACAGCGGCCGACTAAGGTAAGTGTCGCCGCATACGGGCCACACGCCACAGCCACAAACGCCGCTACGAGAAGCTAGAAGCGGCTACTAAAGTGGGTGAACGCGCTTCAGCGACAGCGGCCGACTAAGGCACGGTAATATTAACTATTATTACCGTGACTAAGGTAAGGGAGAGAAGGTGGGGAATCGCGCGAGTGACGTGTGGCGGCGTTTTGTATCGGCGCATTAAGTGGCCGGTGCGGGCCACAAGAAGCGAGCAACGACGATTTGTAGCGTGTGGTGGTCACCGGCGTACCGTGTGTGACGAGTCCATATAAAATGTACGAAAACTACAAGAAATATGCTGGTGGCGGCGTTTTGTGGTTGTGGTCGGTGGCCCGTGAGCGGCGACACTAAGTTGTTATTTGCGTTTTGACAAATGGACGTAGTTACGCGAAAACGTTCCAACCCACAGCGACCCCATTTTGAGATAAACGCAATTTTGTGTTTTAGCGGTACACTTTTTCCCTGTAATTATTTCAGGCAAATACTATTGGTGTTACTGTGGAATGCCAAACTGGTTATTGAATGATATGCATATTTTTTGTAAATACATAATACAAGGGGCATATAAATAGGTAAAACGAGTTTGAAACGTTTTCGCTAAATTTAATTTTGTATGAACCTTGTTAAATAGCAATTATGCATAAACGTTCCAGAACGAATTTAAGTGTATTATTTTATAAATATATCTAAAATAAATATGTAAAATAATAAATAACAATGAAGAACATACAAAAACAACAAAAAAAAATTGAAAATGTATTACAAAAAAAATAGAACGTGATCTTTTGAGCTTAGAACCTATGCCAATTTGCTGATATGGTTCCAAAAGTTATCAAAAACTTATATTATAAACATTCAATTTTCATCATCGTATTCTATGATCTCGAAGTCCGGAACTCCACCAAACCCATCAACATCATCAGTGCTTCTTCAGAACTTTGAAGCGTTCTATAAAATTGAAGGCAATCCACTTCCTGTGCACCTCTTCTACCTCTCCTTCTACCAATACATAACAATGCCCAGTATCATTAAATGCACTATGGATACCACTATTGTAGAACTAAGTAAAAAAGTTAAACCTCTTCAAGTTTACAAAATGACAAAGACTGATTTTTTTAGTACAACTAAACTGGAAAAGAAGATTATCAATAGGAAGAAGTTTACAGACTCATCTAAAGTTAGTTGGCTACATACAAAAGAAATTAAGTTGGATAAAGATAAAATGTTTTCTATTTTTATGCGGTCTACGATGGAAGACGATTTCAATGAGTTGAAAATTGATAAAAGAATAAAACGAGAACTGCAATACATAAAAGAATCTCATTTTTGCTTATTGTGGCCTAACGACAAACCGATTGCTCCAGCGAAATTAGTGGACTTACAATCCATGTACCACTACATACCCGAGGATTGCCTTCAATTTTATAGAACGCTTCAAAGTTCTGAAGAAGCACTGATGATGTTGATGGGTTTGGTGGAGTTCCGGACTTCGAGATCATAGAATACGATGATGAAAATTGAATGTTTATAATATAAGTTTTTGATAACTTTTGGAACCATATCAACAAATTTTTGGCATAGGTTCTAAGCTCAAAAGATCACGTTCTATTTTTTTGTAATACATTTTCAAATATATTTTTTTGTTGTTTTTGTATGTTCCTCATTGTTATTTATTATTTTACATATTTCTTTTTAATACACTTAAATTCGTTTTGGAAAGTTTATGCATAATTGCTATTTAACAAGGTTCATACAAAATTAATTTAGCAAAAACATTTCAAACTCGTTTTACCTATTTATATGCCCCTTGTATTATGTATTTACAAAAAATATGCATATCATTCAATAATCAGTTTGGCATTCCATAGTTAAACCAATAGTATTTGCCTGAAATAATTACAGGGAAAAAGTGTGTAAATTGCAAATTGGGGTTGCTGTGGGTTGGAACATTTTCGCGTTACTACGTCCAAATATACCATAGTTATTTATTTTGGTAAAAAATATCTTTTTCTCTAGAACATATTTAATAGCAAAAATGGATCAAGTATATGTGGATTGTTTATAGCTAAAAATTTTAAAATAATATATTATAATAATAGGTTTCAATTTATTTAGAACAGTGTTCGCAGCTTAAAAAAACAGTATGGATTAATCTAAAAGGTTTCAAATTACATGGAACATTTTTGCAGAAATAAAAAATGTATAAAGATTTTGCAAAAACGTTCCAACCCACATGGATCATTTAAGAAACCATTAAATGTGCGTTTTATGAATTTAGTATAATGTTCCAAGACAAGTGGAACATTATAACGATATGTTATTCTATTAAGAGTTTTTAACAATATGTTTCAGTATGCATGTAATGTTTTTACTTTATTTTGAGTACACGTCCTTGGCATAATGGTGGGTTGGAACATTTGGGTTAAACTTTATTGATGAAACTAACTTAAAAATACTAGCATCTTTGTGTGCACATGATGTAATATGGCAAAAATAGTACCCTGGTTATGGTAACTCATTTTCGAGTGACTTGTGGGTTGGAACGTTTTCGCGTAACTACGTCCAAATTATCAATGAGTACTATTCTCACCTGAAGTAAAGGCATTAAAAATTTGTATGTTAGAAGGAAAATTCAAGTCCGTATTGCCCGACAGACTGGAAGAAACTGTGTGATTACTACTAAATCGACGAAGATTACTTTAGCATATTAAAAAGGGGTTAAAGTTGTTTTCCGGGTCTTTGCTCAATATTCTCCAAACCACGGTAATATTATTACCGTGTCCAAACACAGTCTTCCGTGTCCAGTAATTAGACCTTATTGTCCCGGATTCCGATAATGTGCTAGTTTCGTAACAAAATAAACTAATAACGAATGACGCTGGCCTGCTTGATGTTTTAATTCTGAGGGATGATGATGGGGAGTTGGATTTGATGCTTTTTTTTTTCATGGAGGGGGGGGGGGGGCATATGTCCCGGAGTTGATAAGCCAGCATCTGGCAACCTTTTTTTTGTGTCTGGAAAATGCTTTATGCGTCCTCCAACCACCGGGGGAGCGAAAGGAAGGTATGTGGGACTCCTGCCTGCTCATTTCAGCCAGCCCTCGGCCTCAATGACACCTGATTTCCAATGAGGGCTATAGTGTATGAATCCGCCGCTAGAGGCGCTACTGTAGCGTGAGGTCTCCGAAATGTCAAATGTTATTGCTTGTTGGTTGACTACGCGGGTTTATTTCTTATTAAAATAATGTTGTGAATAATTGGCAACAATTCGGCTTAATTATGGCAAATATGAGTTATGTGGCAATGAATGTCAGTTATTACAAATTCGAGCTTAGAAAAATGATTATGTTCCCATTTTTTCCGAATAAAACGGAACTGCGCGTCACTGTGGCATGGCCTATTATGTTTAGGATATGGTTCTTTTGTGTTAAAATACGATCTAAATGTAACCTTTGATTTCATGTGCGTATTAATAAACTTTAAAAGTTACAATTTAGGACCTCACTCAACAGTGGCGCCATCTGGTAAGACAGAAAACGGTAGCCCTCATTGGATACGCATCCACCGGTGTCTGTCCATTGCTTTGGATGACCCCACCCCTATGAAGATGTCCCGGAGTATCAGGGGCATCAGCATCCAGAGAGCTTGTGCAATGCGAGCCCCGTCCTCCCCCTGGGGCATCTGGCAACCCTAACGCGAACCGATGTCACTGGCTCGGCCCCACTGATGCTCTGCTTAATAGATAATAGTCAATCAAACGACAAGACATCAAATAATCGAACCAA